AAAGAGCCAGGTATGACCACCCAGCCACGCCTACCCAGCCATGCCCACCTGCCACTGTGCGTTGTCATAGTTTTACATGCAACTGGCTCTTTAAGGACAACTATAATGCTGATGCAGCCCTCAATGAATTTGAATTTGACACTCATGTTCTATGTTCTAAATGCAATGCAGGATACTGTATGAAACAAAAAAAATTCTGGAAGACAGATGGAAGAGCATAAGTAAAGCAAGATAAATACTTGGATTGCTTCCTCCTCCTTCTCTCCCCCCTTCTCTTCTTTCTTGGACAAGTGCTTAGTCTAAATTCTGTGTCCCTAAAATGGAGTCTGCAGGCATCTATGCAATATGCCTGAATTGTATTTTGTTTCTGAGATTCCTTTAGTTCAAAACAATGAATGGAAATAAGCATGAGGCCAAGAAAAGTGTCACCCTCTAACATTACTTTTATTTCCAAATATGGAATTGGGCTTTACATGGGCTGCATACACATTTATATGGGCTGCATACACATTCTTGGAAATTGAAATGTGGCTAGCTCTCACTTAGTGCTTAGTTTGGAAATCTGCCAGAAGAAAGACTGAGGTGATGAAGCATCTTTGGGTGCCTAATAGAGTTGCTGGAAAGTTGCAGGTTGTCCTTGGAAGACCAGCAGTCATCTTTGAAAAGTAAAACCTCTGCTTTGTATTTGGTTGGTTTAGACCTAGAGTGTATATCACATTTGACCTCAATAACCTCTTTGTTCATCTGCCCCAGGAAGGACAGACAGCAATGCTACTTGGGAGTGATAGTGGTTATTACTGTGCTCTGAATAGAATAGAATGGAATACTTTATTGGCCAAGTGTGATTGGACAAACAAGGACTTTGTCTTGGTGTAAATACACTCAGTATACATAAAGAAAAGGTACATTCATTAAGAATCAAGAATCATAACATACAACATTTAATGATAGTCATAGGGTACAATCAACAATCAAATCATACTAGGAAACAGTCAAGTGGGAGGGGATGGGTGATAAGGAGTGGTGAGAAGATTAACAGTAATAGTAGCGTACACTTTGTAAATAGTTGAACAGTGTTGAGGGAATTATTTGTTTAGCAGAGTGATAGCTTTCAGGAAAAAACTGTTCTTGTGTCTAGTTGTTCTAGTGTGCAGTGCTCTATAGTGTCATTTTGAGGGAAGGAGTTGAATCAATTTATGTCCAGGATGTGAGGGGACTGTAAATATTTTCACAGCCCTCTTTTTGACTCGTGCAGTATACAGGTCCTCAATTGAAGGCAGGTGGGTAGTAATTGTTTTTTCTGCAGTCCTAATTATCCTCTGAAGTCTGTGCCTGTCCTGTTGGGTTGCAGAACCAAGCCAGATGGTTATAGAGGTGCAGATGATAGACTCAATAATTCCTCTGTAGAACTGTATCAGCAGCTCCTTGGGCAGTTTGAGCTTTCTGAGTTGGTGCAGAAAGAACATTCTTTGTTGTGCTTTTTTGATGATGTTTTTGATGTTAGGTGTCCATTTTAGGTCATGTGATATAGTAGAACCTAGAAATTTGAAGGTCTCTACTATTGATAATGTGTTGTCTAGTATTGTAAGAGGTGGTAGTATGGGAGGGTTTCTTTTAAAGTCTACTACCATTTCTACGGTTTTGAGTGTGTTCAGTTCCAGATTGTTCTGGTTGCACCACGAGGCAAGTTGTATAACCTCCTGTCTGTATGCAGATTCATCGTTGTCTCAAATGAGACCAACTTCAATATTTTAACAGATGGATCGTTTGAGATGCAGTCATTAGCACACAGCCTTGGGGCACCCTGTGCTGATTGTACAGGTATCGGATGTGATTCCGCCTAGCATCACCTGCTGCTTCCTGTCTGTTAGGAAGCTTATGATCCACTTACAAGTGTGTTCAGGTACCACTAGTTGGTTTAATTTACTTAGAAGAATGTCTGGAATGATGGTATTGAATGCTGAACTGAAGTCTACAAAGAGGACCCTTGCATAGGTATTTGGAGATTCGAGGTGTTGTAGGATGTAATGAAGAGCCATGTTAACAGCATCATCTGTCGATCTATTTGCTCAGTATGCAAACTGCATGGGATCTAACAGCGGATCCCTGATGGTTTTCAGGAGGGACAGCACAAGCCTTTCAAAGATTTTCATAACTATAGATGTTAGAGCAACAGGTCTGTAGTCATTCAGTTCCTTGATGGAGGGCTTCTTTGGCACTGGGATGATGGTAGAGCATTTGGAGCAGGAAGGAACATAGCACATCTCTAGTAATCTATTGAAGATTCGAGTGAAGATGGGGGCCAATTGGTCAGCACTCTGTAGCTCTCAACTGAACTTCAGCAGCTACTCATCTCCTGGTTCTTTTAAGTGCAGGCACTGGAGAAGGAACTTCTATTTCCTCAGTCATTTTCTTTAGCTTATTGTTGTTCCGAAACCAATTACAGAATATTCTGCAAAAATTATGCATTCTATGGTACAAAACACATCATTGGTTGAAAGACAAATTAGGAGATAGAATTTTCCTGAAACCTTAATAGCAGCCCATTAATTAAGGATTAATTGACATAGGTAGGAAGAGAGTTTCTATCCACTTCTCCTGTAATCATCTTTCTTCCTTTGTTTCTTTCTTTGATCAGAAAATTCTGATCGGTGCATAGGGGGTTGTCCTGAATTATGTGAGAGAGGATATTGGGGAGGAGGAAAGGAGGCTGGGAAACTTTCCCTAGTTTAGAAAAAAGAATTCTTATCCTCTTTTCTTCCAGTTCTGAGAGGCATATTGTGCCTATATTGTTTTCTCCCTGCTGCTATTAGCAGCTGGAGATTAAGGGACTGGATCAAGAAAATGCCATAGGGGAAAATGGTTAATCCCTTTCTCTCATGCTTGGATCCAAGTACTAATAAAGACCCACAACTGCTTTTTAATACTATACAAAAGCTATTCTATAAAGGGAATCGTTTTTATTGTTTTTAATCAAAAATGGCAATTGTAATGTCAAAATAAAAAGCCTTGCACTATCATTACAATTTTGCCAGCAAATGTGCTTAGCATGGTCTGCATTTAATCATAAAGCTGTATAGAAATTACCAAGAACTAATTTATCTTACTAAACTACAGAAAGAAAGTTTCAATAATTGTGGAACAAGTTGGGGAGAGGAGGTTTCTTTGTCTGTACTGTAAATTACCATTCATATTACTATTCAGTTTCTTTTGTATATAGCAGTCTTTCAAAGGGTTTATCTACAGAAATGTTCTGAGATGTCCATGATGCAATGAAAACTTTTTAAACACATTTTTTTACTTCCTCCATCACACTCAATCTAATAGGCAAGCTATTTTGAAAGGAATGGTTCCATATTTTGATATGTTTCAGTTTTGCCGTCACCTATTACTTCTCTAAAATAGCCAGAATTAACAACTCCTTTAGGCCTTTCATCAGGTGGAATTCCTGCTGTTTTCCTTGGACTCAAATTCAAAAGGCATCATTTGGCATGCAACCATGAATAATATTTGCTAATCCATCAATATGACAACACAAATGAAACTGAAACCCTACTGTCTTCTCTATGGCTCAGTGGTACAATAGTATTTACAGATTAAAAGCAGCTTATACTTCACTAGCTCTCAAAGTTTATTCTTTTTTCCTGAAAAGGAGAAATAGAACCTCTCATTCATTTGTCAAGAACTAATGACTTGAAAAAAAAATCAGAAAATTGAAGATTTAATGAATACCATTCAAGTTCACCATGGAGAATATTTACAGAAATAGACTGGATCCTTAAAAGTTACCAAAACTCATGTAAACTTATTAAAAGCTGATAAAAATTATGTGAAAATGATTTCATGCATAATGAATAGGCAAGAGTGACCATAATACTACTATGTTTGGATAAATGCAAATTGGAAATTACCAACTAGCACCAACACATTCTCCTTTTTTTTCAAAGGAAGAATTTTCTGGACATGGGCACACCCAAGATGGCTGCTGAACAGTATGAATTTTTCTCTTTCCTGCTAACTGTGATTTTGCTGCCAGAGCTGGTTTTCTGTCAGTGCTGCTCCCTGGATTAGAATAGGAGCATTTATGAATGACCCAGATGCCTTTTGAATGGCCGTGGACCCATCTGGGAACGGGAATCTTGAATATTCCAATCCCCTTTGGGAGTTGTCAGAAAGTAGAGCATCCATGTTCCTTTCAGCTTTTCATTTTCAAAGCATGCCTCAGTATTAACTTTCACTTTTTGAATTTCTTGAACTTTTACTATTGAATTTGAAGTTGATTGGCTGCTTGAATGCTGATGTACTTTAACCCCTTGCTGCATTTTAACTGTTTTTTTCCTCTTCCTTTTGATTTATGTTGTTGTTTTGAATAACTTTTGCTTTTTCATATGGAAATATAGCCTGTCCTTGGATGGTAAAGTGCTTTTATTTGATTTACATCAATGCTAGATTTTCATCACAGGGTATTTGTACTGTATTAACTTGTAAAATATTTGGAACTTATCTTTTTATTTTTATTTTAACTTTGGATCTGCATAACCAGAAAATATCTTCCTTATTCCTTTAATTTATATCTTCATTTTGCTTTAGTATTCTTTGTTTCCTGACTGACTTACACATAGCAACAGTGGATTGAATTGCAAATAAACAGAGCTGACTGAAAAGACTGGAAACATACAGTCTTTAATTGAAAGCTTCTTTTAAAAGTTTGATGAAATGGTAATGGCTATGGAAAATATTCAGACAATTGGGACTGGCCAACTTAATTTCTGCTCTGAGCAAATTAGTGAAAACAGTAATTTTAAAAAAAAATTAACTATAGAGAAACAAACTTTCCTGAAAGAAAGTCAGCATGAATTCTGCAAAGATGAATCATACTTCACCAATTTTTTGGAATTCTTTGAAAGTGACAACAAGCATATTGATGGGAATGAATTGTATATTTGGACTTCCAAAAATCTTTGTTATAATTTCTCTTCAAAGGTATAACTTAATAGCCATGGGACGAGATCACCTGTCTTTTTATGGACTGCGAGCTGGTAAAAAAGGAGAAAGTAAGACACAGCAATCAGTGACTTTTCTCAAATGAACTATCTCTTTGACTGGGATAATACAGAACTACAGTCAAACAAATGCAGAAAAGGCAGAGAATTCCTGGAAGACCAGCACTCAGATGAAGGCACCATTAAGAGAATAGTTGGATTTGGTTCAATTTTAACCAATCAGATGCAATATCCAAGCCATTCATATCAGATTGACAAAGCAATCCGATATGAACAGAACTACAAAAACAACACCACATGCCGTTACCAATCAGTGGACACTTTCCCCAAAAAGCATCTAGGTACCAGCCAACCCCATGAAATTGAAGCATGGCCAGATTATAAATGTGATGAGACAACTCCAATTTCTGGACCACTGGTCTGGTGAAACTTTGGTGGAACATATAAGGTTTCTTCCCCAAACCCCAAAAACTTTAACCTTAGACTGTCTACTATTGACCTCACCCCTTTCCTAAGAGGTCTCTAGGGGGCGTGCATAAGCACACCAACGTGCCTACCGTCCTGGTCCTATTGTTTCTTTTATTTTTATTTTATTTTTCTTATATGTACCCATTTCATGTATTCATAACTATGTATACACTTATGCTTATTATCTTGTAAACAATTGACAAATCAAATAAATAAACAAAATAAAATAAATAAACCCCTGCAGCAGTCATGACATTTAGGTGTAGATCTTTTTGCCTCCAGAGAACCCCAAAGGAAGTGTGCTTTTTTTTTTTTTTACCAAACAGCAAATAATTAGCTTATGAAATCATTATCACAAGTGCTATATGATAACTTGAATGGCTTTACACAGTAAGATAATTTCCTGGAGAGCAGATCTATTAAGAGACACCAGTTTTGAAGTTTTAGTTAAACCTCCCTGTTGGAAGTGAATACAAATAAGCGAAAAGGAATGGAAAAAGTCTGTCGGTCTGCCTGACTGACTGACTGACTGACTCTCTCTCTCTCTCTCTCTCCCTCCCTTCCTCTCTCCCTTCCTCTCTCCCTTCAGAATAACAGGCTTTTCCCCCTATGTTTTTATGGTAGCAAGTTTGTCATATAATGGATAAATCAGTTATTATTGAAGTGCACTGTGGGGTAGAAATTCCATATGAATAGTTTATACCAATAATTTGCATCGTATGGCTTTTGGTGCTCCATTATTCTTGGGTTTTTGTGTCCTGGATGAAAAATAAGAAAAAATTAAATGTAGGATTTAGATGGAAAAAGAGGATGAACTATTTTATATTTCTGTACTCCAGCTAAAGTGGCAAAATATATTGCTTTAATTAGCTTGTCTCCTCTTGATTATATTTGAACACTGCCATCTACCTTTGAGAAATAAAAGGCCACTTGAGTAGTATAAAATGTAATCTAGTAACCTTAAATGTCAAAAACCTGTATGTAAATGCATTTGTTTCTATAGGCAGGGTAGCATGTAGACAGATAAAAGATAGATTGAGTGATAGAGGAGAGAGTCAGAAGGCTCCTGGAGGAACTGTTAACTGCTTCTCTACATTTCGACAAATTAGTTATCAAAGTTTGCAGGTTTGCGTTTTTTTAACCTTATGTTGATTGATTGACTTAGTGCCATCAAGTCAGTGTCCACTCTTAGTGACATCATAGATAGCTTTTCTCCATAATTATATGTCCCTAATCTGGCTTTTCAGGTTGTCTAATGGGGCACCCCATTGACTCTGTCAACACTAAAATGTATCAACTCATTTCTTTTTACCAATTGGTAAAAAAGTGGTAGCTGACCATTCAGTTGACAAAAAGTATTTATCAATCATGTATTTGGTTGTCATAATATTTATCAGAATTACCATCTCACTTTCCGTATTCTTTGCAACTCTTTGCAGCTTGTCTTTGATAATACTGGCAGGTGCAGATTCCAGAGGATGTAACTCAAAGTTGTTAGATCTTGCATAACTGTTGCTAAGTGAGGATTTGGAATTCCTTTACCTAACTTTCAAAGGAAAATGAGCAGTTCAAATCTAGGAACCAACATATAACTTTTATGCTTTATTGTCTTCCTTTCAAGAAGATACTTGGATAGAAAAAAGCAGTTTCTTTTTTACAGATTCCATTAAACATATGAAACACCACGACAAGATTAACTAATAAGTTGATGGAATTTTTTCACTTGGTCCTTCAGTCACATCATATCTAATGTCGGGCAATAAAATTAATCTTTACATTAATGTATGCACATCAGTGGTCAATTGTAACAGCAGTGGTCAGATAAAAAGATTAACAGATAGTTCTGGAAAAAATAGGATAGAATGGACAATATGGAAAGAAGTCCAAGCATAGGTCTATAACTAGTTACTGTACTGTAGCAATCTGAATCTGGATATGACATTGTTGGAGAAGTGTTTCTGACTCCAACATTTTTGGCAGGTAATATACCAGTAATAAATGTGGTTATTTGGTTAGGAATGAAAACTTATCATTGCAACTACTTTTCAATTAACATAAAACCAGTGGTTTTATTATTTTATTAGGATTTTAATTTTCTTTTATCCTAATTTTTACCATGGAATAGCTCAGTTATTTAAAAATTCAAATAAACTTTCAAATAAATATAAAAAGTGTATGTAAAGCTGAATATAACTTACACTGTATCTTTAAATATATATAGTGTTATTAAGTTGCATGGAAACCTTGTAATTTACTTTCAAGTAAACATTAATAAATGCTAAATTGAAAACTTTTCTACCCAGATATTTAGCATAAATCCAGATGGTAGTCTCCTTCAGGTTAGGACTGAAATGAATACATTGTACAGTTCTGTATTGGGTATATAAGTAATAAACAATTTCTTAGCACTCCCTAAAATGAAATCAGTATAAATTAGTAGCAGTGATACAGAATTTTGACATTCAGTTACTAGTATTTTTACTTTTACTCTGAACCACTGTTGTTAGATTTTGACCATTAAATAAGTTCATGCCATGCCTTGCCTACAAACCCTCCAATATTGTTACTATAGGTAGATTATTTAACCTGAAAAATAAATAAAAACAAATTATTTAACTCTCTAATATTATGGTAAATCACTAAAAGGCAGACAAGCATGATAAAGGCTGATGTAATCAGTTGTGAATTACAGAATCTTTATGGAAATCTACCTTACTTGGCAAGAAAACAATTGAACAATTAATTTTTAGCTGTATTAGATCCCAGTAAAAACAATATATTTAGTGATTTATTTAGTACAGAGAGGAACCTGCCCCACTATATAGCGAGGGGTGTGTGTGTGGAGATGGTTTCCTCTTTTAAATTCTTGGGAGTGTTTATTAGTCAAAATTTCACCCGGAAATACAACATGTCCCTGAGGGTTAGAAAGGCCCAACAGAGACTTCATTTTCTTTTAGTACTGTGGAAAAACCAGATGGAACAACAGCTAATGATTTTTTTCTATTGGTCCACGATAAAAAGTATCCTCACATACTCTATAACAGTAAGGTACGCTGGTTTAACAGCTGCAGATAGGAAGGCACTACAGAGAATGATCAATTCAGCAGAAGAAACCATTGGTTGCCCTCTAACACCACTGAAGGACATCACCAGGTTTCGCTGTTTCAGCAGAATAAAGAAAATACTTAGGATTGACTCCCACCCTGTCCAGCGTCTTTTTTCGCTTTTACCATCAAGCAGAAGACATTGAAGTATAGTGTGATGACCCGGGCAGTGGCACAAAGGCAACACAGTCAAATAAGCAAGAAGTGCCCCTTTAATACTTCCAACTTTGACCCCAATGTCCAGGTTACCTTCAGCTGGAGAAAAAATCTCTCCCAAGAACAGTTTTTAAGTGGAGGAAATTCAGTCCAAAAACAATACAAGCTGTAAATAAAAATCCACACAAACCACGCTGCAGTAATTAACTTGACAGGGCAGGAATTGTAGACTTGAAAGCCCAGCAAAACACACACAGTTGGGAAGATGCCAGGAACCCAGATAAGCCTTGACAATACCAGATAATCCACAATTTGCTCCCAACAACTTTGCTGGTGCACAGCTTTCCTTTTTAAACAGTGTTCCCAGCTGCAGCTAATGAAGGGAATCAGGGCTTTTTCCTCCCCCGTAAGCCACACAACTCACATCGTTCCTTTCTCCATTCCTCCCTGCCTGCCCTAGAATGAAGAGGGGGTGGGCCTGGGTCTTCCTCTGAATTCCCTCTCCCTTGCTCTACCTCTCCCCAGCTCTGCCGAATCAGCCTTTGCACTTCCCCAGTTTCTTTCACAGCCAACAGAGCCACACTCCCACTCCCTGTCAGCTGCTTGGCCTCCCCTACAAATCAGATTCCGACAGGAGCATGACACATAGCCAGCGAGGCAAACAGGTTTATAAACAGCTTCTACCCATGGGCTGTCAGACTCCTAAACACAATCACAATCACTCCACCTACAATCACTCCCCCTCTATGGGAAACGTATGACTAGAAAAAAGAGAATAAAGAAAAAATAAGAATATAGTAAGGAGAAAAGAGTTATATCAAGAAGTAACATGTAGCCTTTATCACAAGTATAAAATATAAGCTTTACACAACTGAAGATAATGTATTAAGGATATGTCGAAGGAAAAGATATCAGATGAAAAGGTAAAAAAATACGTGAAATGCACAAAAAGAACGTAAGAATTGTCCTCACTTTGCTTTTCAGTCTAAAAGATAATAAATGAATGTTCTTGTGGATATTCACACTCTTCAGGTTCATGATAAAGGTCAAGTGGCTATTCTACCCAAGCCCAGGTCAATTATAACAAGATTCCCTTAAGTTTTGTAAATGAACTCATTCGTTGAACATCCATAGGTACTAGGCATTGTGTTTCATAAATTGCATCTCCCCTAGGTCAAGAGAAGACCATTTCTGATCCATCACTATGTGTTTAATATCTCCTAGCATTTTTTACTATTGGCTAGTTATCTAAGTGCTGAAATTCAGTATTATTTGGACTGCCACTGGCTGCTATTTCCTGTTCTGGGTAGTGTAGATTAACAAATGTTTAATTTTACTTTGTTTTCAAAATAGCTCCTTATTTTTCCTATTTCCTTTTTTCTATACTCCTTAATACTTACCTTTTTATCTAGAGGTTTTTGGGTGGGAGTTTCTGGCAAAATCCCAAAAAGAGTTTTATTTTAATCTGCTTTTTAGTCTTTTTGAATTACTTTATTGGGTACCAAGCTGTAAGGAAGGTGGTTGGTTTTTAAAGAGGAGCAACTGCTGAGGATTTACCATTTGGACATCAGTAGGTTTGTTGGCACTTTTCCTTATTTTAAAGCTGTTGCCCATTCCAAATAAACATAATAGGCTTGAAAACATATGTGAATTTATAGATTTATAATCAAGGACCAAAACCAATCAAAATATGTTATATCTTATAAAACATTATGAAGTAAAATAATATATTGAAAGTGCAAAATGAAAAATGCTAAAGTTACATTATTAAAGGTTGAATAACAATGAAGACATAAAAGAATTTGCTGATCCTTTTGGAAATCTTTTAAATAGTAAAAAAGAGAGAGATTATGCTCTTCCTCTAAGCTACAATTACTATGAATTAGTAGAGGTATTTTTTAAATATATCAGAAATAGCCGTGTCAAAAAAGTACAGAAACATTATAAAATTTATTTTAATTCCTTTGTGGATGGGAAAAATTTTACAAATATTTTGTTAAATATTACTTCCAACAGTGAGGACATTAAGCTGTTAACCTGAATGAATGTATGGACCAGTGATGGGTTTCAAATGTTTTACCACCAGTTCTGTGGGCGTGAATTGGTGGGTGGGGCTTTACATATGCATGTGTGTCTTCAACAGCTGATGTACGGCAATCTGCTGTGCCGTGTGAAGCAGCTGAGCTTCAAAACCAGGAAATAAAGGTCAGTTTAGAGCCAGGGCAGTTGGAAGGGCCCAGCAGCTGATCGTCGGAGCAAACTGGTTCATCACAGATGATCCTTGGAGCTACCAGTTCGGCGGAACCAGTAGAATACCACCACTGGTATGGATTTTTCTTATCCAGGCAAGAGTAGTTGACATGGTAAAAGGATCTTTCAGAGAGAGGCAACATATATTAAATGATAAAGAGAGCAAGAAAATAACAGGCAATACAGAGAAAGCAGAGCTGTTTAACTCATTCTTTGCATCTGTCTTAACAAAACTATAGTCCAAGCTACCAAAAACATAACTGTAAAAGACAGAATCAAAATTAAATTAAAATAAGCAAGAAAATGGTAGGAGAACCACTGTTTCATCTTGATGAATATAAATCACCCGGATCAGACAAATTACATCCCAGAGTTCTGAAGGAGCTGCAGATGTCATCTCAGAGCCATTGTATTATATCTTTCTAAAATCCTTGAGAACCTGGGAAATACCTGAGGATTGGAAAAGAGCTGATATGATTCCCATCTTCAAAAAAGGGAAGGGAAAAAAACAGACCTAGGATACCACAGAACAATCAGTCTAACATCAATACTTGGGAAGATACTGGAAAAGATAATTTTAAAAAAGATCTGCAAACATCTAGAAACAAATAAAGTTATAACTAGATGTCAGCACAAATTTGTTAAAAACAGATCATGCCAAAACAATCTTATTTAATTCTTTGACAAAGTGACTGCATTAGTAGACCAGCAAAATGCTGTGGACATAGTATATTTAGATTTCAGTAAGGCATTTGACAAAGTAGACCACAACCTACTTCTTGGTAAGATAGAAAAATGTGGGATAAATAGCATTCATCACCAGATGGATTTGTAACTGGCCAACAAACTGTACTCAATGAATAGTCCTTAATGGAGGGAAGTAAGCAGTAGTGGTAAGCAGTACTGGGCCTATGACAGAACTGGTATAGGGTCTCCTGTTTGAGCAGGGGTTGGACTTGTAAGCACTAGCCATGCTGGTAATAAAATTCTTGCCTTCCGTATTCTTCAAATTCGCAGAAGTGTGAATTCCCTCAGCAGCAATTTCTGTCTGGAGGCCCACAGCTTTAAGTTGTTAACAACTTAGTATTGTTTCTACCTTCCTTCTCAACAATATCAGACAATTTCTTAAAGGATTGACATTTAGATGTGGTGTTTTACAGTAGATTGCAACAAATATCACAAACACCTCCAGAAAACTAAGAAATGTTTGTGTTAACATCGTAGTGATTTGGAATAAGAATTTAGCTTGTATTAATTATACTGTGTTATAATTATTTCATCAGATGGCTTTTCATGTGTGTTTTCATGCTACCTTGAAGGCTCTGGTAAGTATAGAATTCTTGTTATGGTGACAATTTATTATTAAATCCTTGTAGAATGAATGCCTAGAACAGAGGCAGCAGATTCATGGATATACAGTGTTTATCTCTCTTTCTTTCTACAGTGAAGTGCCGTGTCAGCTTGTTGAAATAACTATGAGAGCCTTGACACATCTTGTATATCAAGGCTGGTATGTTTCACTTCAAAGCCTGCATTTTAATGTTTTCCATTAAATGAATGAACACCCATGTTTGCCTTGGAGTTATCTTGTTTCCTTGTTGGTCAGTTTCCTTGTTGGTAATTGTCCCTATAGGGTCTCCTAGTAATATATGTGAAGGCTCAAAAATCCCTTTCAATTTCATTTGCACTTTATTATAAACCATAGCCCAACATATATCAAAACATTTTGATTAAATATATTATAGTAACAGATAAAAGAAGAAATAAAAGAGGAAAAATATTATACAATAAAATGGAGTAAAAACAAAACAATATATTAGTTCAGGGTTGTCAAACTCTCATCCCACAGGCCAGATGTGGCCACACCTGGTTTAGCAAAGGGGAAAAAAATCCCAACACATCACATGATGCCACCACAACAATGTTTGACACTTCTGTTCTAGTGCTTTATGCAGTATCCTACATAGTATAGACAAAAAAAATCAGCCTCAAATTCCTTTTCCATTAATACTACATAATGTTGTGGTCAGCTGGCAGCAGGTGCAGACGGCTGAGGAGAGCGAGGATTCAGATGAGGGGCCATTCGGGAGTGGAGTGTTGCCTTCAGAAATTGTAGGGCTGGCAGCAGTGACGAGGAGGTTACCAAGGAGCCTGTGCCAAGTGCGTGTGAGCGCAGGAGTGCTTGGAGGAAAGAACAATTACAACAGCACAGGCAACTCAGGAGTAAGACTGCAAGGTAATGGCCCTTCCTTTAAGAAGATAAAAGCTAGCTGTGAAACTAACCTTCTTTGCAGAAGGCAAAGACAGTTTGAACTCAGCCTCGTGGACATTACAGTTGATATTTGAAGACTCTTGTAAACTATTTCTTATCTGCTGTTTTTTGGCAGACTTGAAAAAACTTGGCGAGGCTCTTTATTGTTGGAGCTAATTAGTTGGAAGCAGCCTTTTATGTGTGAAGAAACAGTATTCTTAGCTTAAACATAAGAAGGTCATACTGCTGCATTTGTCTTGTATTTGCTCTCTTGGAACCAGGTTTGGGTCAGAACACATAGTTTCTACAGGATACAAATGCAAACTTTGCAACAGAAGAATTAGAAGAACCCTACTGAACTTTGTGCATAAGAAAAAAGTTAGGCAACATGGCTTCCCTGAATATTGTATCACAAAAAACAAA